TTCCAGTGGTGAATGGGAGCTCAGTTCCTCGCTGCCAAAAGGATACCAAAGGGGAATTAGACTGATGTATGACTCACCCAAACCTTCTGGCAGTGCAGGGACAGGCCCTCCCTTCCCACCAAAAGGACCATTAACCCCTGACCATGGGCTTATGTGTGTATGTGGATAGACTAGCGAAAGACCCGTCATGATTGGAAGACGGAGCTTGTAATTTGGGATGGTTCTCTCTTGTTGGTAGACATCACACCATTACATCCCCGCATCTGGTGCCCCCTCAGTGTGTTGGACTGCATTCCCATCATGCCTAGTTAGATACTATGGACTAAGGAAATGAGCATTATAATTCAACATGCCTATAGGGTGCAGGATTGAGGAAGGCTGTTTTAGAGAACATCTACCCCAGGCATGGGAAAACGTGGTCCACCAGGCATTTTGGACTTCAACCCCCACAATTCCTAACAGCTAGTAATCTGGCTGGGATTTCTGGGAATTGAAGTCCAAAATACCTGGAGGGCCAAAGTTTGATCTACACTGACCATTTAGGTTCTGCCCTATGGTAGCTATGTAGGGCTATTCTAGAGTAACCTAAGTTGGCAGAAATCTAATCGAGAGAATGCTCAAATTTTGCCCCAGAATTCGGGCATTCCCCTGGCCCAGAGGTTGGGAGGACAATTGGGCCAGTTCCCAACAAGAACTGGCTGCTACTGTCCTGACACCCATCCCATGCTCCTCAGTCTTGGGCAAGTGGAAATGGAGGAAGCAGGAGGGTTTTCCTCTTCTCCCCCTTTCGTTCTGCCTTGGTGTGTTATCACACTAGCTGACATCAGAGCAAGCACCAGGAATTAGGCAGGTACCATGTTGCAGCCAGGGACTGTTGCAACATGGGAACATGGGGTTGCCCAGTGGCTATAAACCTGACTAGTAGCAACGCTCTCCCACCTCCAAGGTGGCTGAGGAAGTCCTAGTGATGACATTAATCAGTTCAGATCTGGTATCCAGTACACTAGATCAGGCTTGATTCAGGACACCATGAAGAAGGACCCTTAGTGTCTTGCTAGCAGGGAATAGGTTGAAGTCAGGGATGAAGTCCAGATGTTGCACTCCCAATTGCAGCATTCTCTTGTACAGTAGCTTTTATTCCCTGAGGAGTACATGCAAATATTAGCTATATGGAAACGAATAAAAGATCTCCATGAGGATGAATGCTCAACCTCATCCTGCCAACAAAGGATCTGAGTGAATGAGAATTTTGTCAAAATTGTTCTATCCTGAATTATGTATGTTGGTCGGATTAGGACAGAGTGGGTTGAGAACAGTCTTGAATCCTATTGAAACACAAGAGTTTGCTCAAGGGGTTGTATGTACTTTCTTAGAGATTGTGTTCGTTCAGTTCTTACTGTAACCAATCATTTTACAAGCACACTTCCGTTTTGGGCATGATGGATGAGGAAATTACTTAATCGCTGTGCAATAGATAATCTGAAAGGCATGGTGTCTCTTCTGCTTGAGTAACTAGGTTGGTTAATATTTTTGCCTGTTAGAAGTATATAGGATCTCAACTATATGGATAGTCATCTCTGGGAGATAATGGTAGACTAAAGGGGCGCCAACCTCCTATGGGAGATGTATGAATCTTCATATGTTGGAAATTTGCAAAGAATGATGACTTTGTTCCTAGTAAAGTCAACAAAAAGACTGAATGAAACAATAACATAAATGAGCATCAAGTTTGCTTCCCTGTTATGAAACATTTACACCTATATGGCCTTATAGATTGTATACCATATGGTCTATAATCAGTGGTTTTCAACCTGTGGGTTCCCAGATGTTTTGGTCTTCAACTCCCAGAAATCCTAACAGCTGGTAAACTGGCTGGGATTTTTGGGAGTTGTAGGCCAAAGCACCTGGGAACCCACAGGTTGAGAACCATTGGTATGGACGCAAAACACAGTTCTTTGTAGCCATTGTTGGAGCCCCCCCCCCCTTCCAGGGGTGAGAAAAGCGGTATAGAAATACAGTAAATAAAATAAATTATCTTGAAACTGCTGGATATGATTTTCTTTGTTTTTCCCCCCTTTGGTTAACTCATTTATTCTGAAGACTGAAAATTCTTAGTATTATTAGGATCTATAATCTCTCTGATTCTGTGTAGTTTTAAAAAAGATATTTTTTATTATATTATACACACAGATCAGTAAGCCAAATTCCAAGTGTTACACATATAAAACCTGAATAATTCAACAAATATTAAAGATATTATACTAATTTACACTGGTGTATATTACATTATCTCCACCTTCCCTCCCTCTCCCTCCCTCTTCAACCACAGTATATTTCTAGCTAATCTTGCAGATCCAGCCACTGGTAGAGTCTTTGTATTTTTTCTTTGATGTGATCGTTGGCTCCTCCATTTTTCACCCAGTTGAAGTAGACCTTCCATCTATTTGTAATGATCTTTTCTTTGTCCATTCTTGGTGTTTGCTTGGTCATAATTCCCGTAATGTCTAATAGCACTTGGTCGTACATATAATCATTCCAATTAGTTAACGTCCATTTCGATTTGTCTTTCCATCCTCTGGCAATCACTGCATGGGCTGCTCTTATTGTTACCTTAAACAACTCCTGGCAATTACTTATTATACTCGGATGATCCAACACTCCCCATAGTAGCAAATCATTATTAATTTGAATTTTTATCTGGAATATCTCCTGAATTTTTCCTTGTATCATTTGCCAGAATTTTTTTATTTCAGAACACTCCCACCACATGTGTGAATAAGTACCTTTTTCTTTATTACAATGCCAACACTTCGAATTCTTTCCTTTTACCATATAAGCCAATTGTTCAGGAGTTCTATACCATCTTAATATCATCTTTTTTTCTAATTCATTATATTTTTCTATTTTTATTTTATTCATGTTCCTAATTATTTCCTCTATTTCTCTTGTCTGTAAGGTATCTTCCAGCCCAAGATACCTAACCAACCGCCTCTTGGCCTATGAGCCCACGAGGACTTTGAGATCTTCCGGGGAGGCCCTGCTCTCGATCCCGCCTGCATCTCAGGCACGGCTGGCGGGGACGAGAGATAGGGCCTTCTCAGTGGTGGCTCCTCGGCTGTGGAACACCCTTCCCGTAGACATCAGGTTAGCCCCCTCCCTGTTGATCTTCCGCAGGAAGCTGAAGACCTGGTTGTTTAAGAAGGCTTTTGAATAGAAGTGCAATGACTGGTAACTTGACCATAGGAACGGAACAACGGAAATGGTATTAGATTGTGAATTGGACGATGAGACGACTCGGAATGATCTTGTAGTAAGGTTGATGTTTTGATGATGTTGATAATTATGTACTGTGGATTATTTTATTGATGTTGTATTTTGCACCTTTTGTATATGTTGTACACCGCAATGAGTCGCCAGTAGGCTGAGAATCGCGGTATATAAGCGTAGTAAATAAATAAATAAATAAATAATGATTTAACTCCATTCCATTTATTACTTATTGCTCTAATCATAAACTCTTTATCTTCTACCATTAAATTATATATTTTTGCTACTGTTCCTTTACTTGTCTTTTCTCTTGCATTTAGCAATTTATCTACCTTTAGTTCTTCAGTGGGTTTTGCACCCTCTTTTTTTACTTTTTCCCAAATCCCTCTTAATTTTAACCAAAGCGGTATAGAAATACAGTAAATAAAATAAATTATCTTGAAACTGCTGGATATGATTTTCTTTGTTTTTCCCCCCTTTGGTTAACTCATTTATTCTGAAGACTGAAAATTCTTAGTATTATTAGGATCTATAATCTCTCTGATTCTGTGTAGTTTGTTCCTTTCTATGTGTTTTGCTTCCATTAATGTTATAGATCCTCAGGAGCTGCACAAATATATGAACAAAAGTGGCAGTTTCTGGAATAGAATATTTTTCCTTTATTCCATAGTTCAACTCAACTTTTAAAACATTTTAAAACAACTACATTGTTTACTCAGATGCCTCCAATGAAGCTAAAACTTATTTAAGAAGTCAAATATTTAAGAAGTCAACTAGCAAATTAATCATCTGGGTGATTTTATATGTTTGCAATGCTTAGCATTGCCATTTGTATGGTGCTTGTGTAAAATGTAGGTGTTTTGATCTATTACAAAATCCATATACTGTATTAAATTTTGTACTTAAATGCACATTTTGAACACATTTTTAGAACTTTTTACTTCACGGAACAACTAAATGTCTATTTGCTATTTTCTTGCTTTCCCCGTTGCAAACCAATTTTCAAATAAATCAGCATAAATAACTAAAATGGTTCATGTGTCATCAAAGAAGATAGTTATTTTCAAATTCCATTTTAATTTTTAAAAGATAGTCCTTTATAAATTCCATAACCAATGCACTTTGCTGTGACCAATCAAATATGCCCAAACTCTCAGAAAGCTTTGAGGTCTCCAAGTCTTTTCAACAGTCAAGATTCTTCTACATCTTGGCTAAGAGATCTAGAGACCTTGAAAGCAAACACAGAACATTGGACATCTTTGTCCCATCCCAATGAAGATGTCACCTGACCATAGATTTTAGAAATTTCTTACAGAAAACCCATGTAGGTTATTTCTTCATAACTTTGAAAGTGTGACTGTTTATTAAAAATATTATTTATGGTTTGGAAATGAGACAGAAAAAAAATTACTTCGTTCTTATGTAACAGTCAGAATAGGTAGGCTTTGTTTAAAAATGTTTGGGAAACCAAGCTTTGCACTTTTATTTGCATTTTACAGATGGCACATGGCTTCTGGTTTGGGACAGTTATTTTGTAAATGAAATTTAAGCATAGTACTTTCTGTTGAGACTCAACCCTCCCCCAGTCCCTCTAATGTTTTTAAAAAAATAAGAACCAGAACAGTTACAATGAAATACTACATGGATAACGGGGGATTCGGTGACCGTTTTTCTTTTCCACATAAACCAATATTTACCAGTAATCTTGTGTTTCTATTTTTGTTTTTTGGCAGACTTTTACCAGTAAATATCGGTTTATTCCTGAAACCAGAAGCCCTAAACATATCTTTGTTTATAAGGTCAGTCTTCATTTCCTGTTTCTGTCCTTCCTCATCTATTTACAAATTCTGTTGTCTTTTTAGGTAATGGGAAGCATAGAGTATTCTTTCTGCTTATTGCAGCACGTTTTACAAAGTGGAGTTTGCTTTGTGGGCTGAAATTGTGGTTGGAATGGTAAAGTTTTAGGGCAACATTTTTACATACGGGAATTTCTAACAATGATAAAGAAATAAAACAAAGCACTGTTCAATATTGTAGGTGTTTCTATTTAGATCAGGTGTGAGAACCCTACTCCCCAAACTGTTGAAGTGCCCTCCTACAGCCATATCTAGCATAGCTAGTGTGGGGAAATGCAGGGAGTTACTGTTCAATATCACGAAGGTTGGGCAAATCCCATCTCTCATTTAGATGCTTTACATCAAAAATGTTCAGCTACTGCCACTGAAGCTGGCAGAGACCCCTCTAGTAGCAGGAAAAACTTAATTCCAGTGACGACCCCAGGTTTTTCCACTTTAGGGGAGAGGAAGAGGATATAATCCTCTTACTCCCTGCATGCTGTGATGTTGTGAGCAGGGGGGTTGTGTTTGTGCCCACATAAGTGATTCACCAACACTTCGGTTAACACTGGGCACAATCCTTAGGGTCAAACATTGATTTGCCTTGTTCTAGATCAGGGGCGTCAAACTCATTTTCATTGAGGCACACATCAGCATCATGATTGCTTTTAAAGAACTGGTTCAAATTCTAAAACTATTGCCCTGGCATTGAAAGCTTCACAGCCACATAAAATGACATGATGGACCAGACTTGGCTTCTGGGCCTTGCATTTGACACATATGTTCTAGATCAGTGGTTCTCAATCTTCCTAATGCCATGACCCTTTAATACATTTCCTCATGTTGGGGTGACCCCCAACCATCAAATTATTTCCTTGGCTTGCCAGGACCCCTCCCTCACCAGCCACAGGTCCTGAAGCCAAGGAGGAAGAGGAGGTGAAGGTGGCCTCCACCCAGATTCCCCAGGGTCTCTCTCTCAGTGGAGCCAGCCTTGGCTCTATAAGCCAGGAGAAGAAGCAGCATGGGCGCAGGTGCTGGCTGGCTGTTTAGCTGGCAGAGGGGGCTCGGCAGCCAATCCGGGGAGGTGGAGGAGGTGGGGCCAAAAGAGGAGGCAGCGCAACACCTCTCAAACAGCCAGTTGACCCCTCTAGGGGCTGTGACCCCCAGGTTGAGAACCACTGTTCTAGATCTTTGTAACCGAACGGTTGCACTAAAAAGTGAACAAACATATTTATTTAGTGGAAGTTGTGAATGGAAGTGGAATGTTTAACAGCAGCTATTACAGCTTTATGCCTTACAGAAAAAAATATACAACAATTGTAATTCTGAAATACTGGTCTCAAAACAAGTTTATTTGCTTTCACTATAAACTTGAACACATATCACAAAACAAACATAATTGAACAAGAGTGGGCTGTTAATAAAAGTAAGGTTATTCTTGAGTGTTTATGGCCACTATTGAACAACGTTATGTTTCAAAAGTGAGTTTCAGAGACACTGGCAACACATAAAAATGTTGATCGTAGTAACATAATAGTTGACATCTTTTTATTTCAATGTCCTCCAGTTGTGTTAATACCACTTCGCTTTTTGTCTCTTGAGGTCTTGACTTTATCTTTTTCCTTTTCTAGATCTTTCAGTACCATCTGTCAGTGTCATCTTATGACCTTTTATTTGCCAAATCAGGTAACCTCCACAACCAGTGGAGATGTGAAATCATGCACCCCCCCCCCCCCCCCCCCCCCCCCCGTGTACTTCTTTTCATTCCTAAATGGTGTGTATGTGTGCCTAGAATTCTGTTTATGTGGGGGAAATCTCACATATTGTTAATTCAGTTTAGGAATCTGTGCACATCTGCATCATTTACAGATTACACTCAGTAGGCAAGGTGCTGCCAAAGGAGGCATGATCCCACTGCCTCACCATATGCTGTTTGCCCAATTCTGTGAATGGGCGAGCAGGCCTCTAGTGAAGAGTTCTCTAGTATTCATGTTAGCACAAATGAAATGTTCATCCTTTGTAAATTAGTTCTCTAGTGTGCTTGAATCCTCGTTGTGTCTTATCCCAACTGAAAACTACTTTTCCTCCCCTTATGCAGCTTCCCCTTTTGTCGCCCCGGTTGTGCAATATAGTTGGCAGCAACTTTAATACGAACAATTGATGCTGACCCTTCTTTGAAGCATTCAGAAGGTGTGAGGAGAACTTCTGTTGCCACTCTGGAACACAAATGTGTACACTCATCAAAAGGTCAAAGATAAATTGTCTTTCACACTGGTAAATTACAATATAATACAAGCAATTGAAGTGGTCCAAAATATTATATTGTATAGCCTTTCCTATATAAACCATTTATTTACAATTTTAAATTCAGAAAAAAAATACAAGATTCTATTGATGGTGCATATCACTCTTGGTTTTTTACAGTTAATATTGTAATTTTGTAATAATGTGAATATTTAATTAAATTGTTTAACATGGACAATATATGTAAATTAAATTTTACTCCAAGGTGCTCCACATTTCAATGCTGTGCTGCAGTCAGTATTATTCCAGTACAAGGCTTTCTTCTTCCAAGGGAAAAGGTAGTCCATTCTTTTCTCATAAGGCCAAGTAATACATTTGTTTCAAAATATGGAATTCTGAAGCCACATTGCGCAAACTCTGTAGCTGTGCTATTTCTTTAAAATACCAAATGGCTATTAAACAGGGCTGTGTGAAATTGTATGTGGCAAAAGGCCTTTTTTAAAGAGTCCATGCTAAGTCCTGGCATAACAAAGTGGATATGCACAAGTGGAACCATGCATAGCTACCTTCTAGTTCTTGCTCCCCGCCTTCCAATATGAAATGAAGGCAGGTTTACCACTGTAACAAAGCTTATCATTATGGAACTGGGACCTGTGCGGTTCCAAAGAAGCCAGAATTTTAAAGCCAACTCCAAACCCTTGTTTAAAGGTGACCTGATCCTGGCTTGTTTGGGAATGCTTAACCATAACTCCCAGTTTGTATGTAATTGAACTGATGTCTGAGTATGGAGTTCTTCTTTCACACTGGCAAAAGGGGAGAAATTAAATGAGAGAAAACAGGTTGCCTGCATTCACATGCTGCTTTATTAAGCCAGGATTTGGGCAGCCTCTTATGTATAAACATGGGCATCAAAATAACAAATATATAAGTTTAGGATGAGAAAAGTAGTACAAAAAAAAAAGAATTAGAAAGAAATAATAAGCTTTTATCTAATTTCAAACAGAAGTTGAAATGTTTTGTTTTTGGAACAGTCAAACAACAGGTAGTGTTGATTATCTTACAATATTCTTATCATCTAAGATCTCCCAAATCCTTCTCCTAGTCGAAGATCTTTATTTACAGTGAATTTTGCACAGGTATAGCACTTGTGAGTGAGGATTCTGCACAAATGAAATGTTTCCGGTTTGTTTTCTAGTGCATAAGAGCAAAGGAAGAAAGCAGCAAACCCTTTACTCATGATTGGTTAAATTGAAGGACATTTCTTAGATGTTGTAAATAGATTGCAAAGATTCTGTTGACTTCTCTGGAAACAGGATTAGCTCCAAAAGTCCTTTCTTTACAAGATCATACCTGCATACGTAATCCCATGAGCCAGTATTAATAGTATACAGATAACATCCTAAAAGGGAGGAAGAGAAGATGGAAAAATGTGACAATACTGAGGGGTACTGCATCTAAGAAGTGGGTTTATATTCATGAAAGCTCTTGCTAAAATAAAAACCAGTAACTCTTAAAGGTGTTGTCACATTTTTCTTCCCCTCGCTTTTTCCTTTTTATGCTACAGGGCTACTACTTTGAATGATAACATCTTAGTATTTTAATGTAGGATGCTATTAATTTTATAATTCTTTTTAAAACTGGCAGTAAGAATATTTTAACCATTTCAATACAAGGGTCAATCACTATTAGCCCGTTCTCCCTTCAGGCACATATGCACATAGATCTCAGTGTAAAGAGAGGCTAGTAGCAATCTTATGGAGAACATGCAGCAAACCCTAGGATCACAGCCAATGGAGAAAGTGCAGCCATGATAATAGTTTATGCTATTTGTTCTCCATATATGATTGCATGGGAGGATTTCATAGTACAAACAAATCCTACATCTTTTTTTCCAGATATGAAGATTAAACCTGTAGTATGTTTTTCACATGTGAGTTTTCTGAAAAGAACCGAACAAAAAAAATCTCTCAAGGAAAGAATAGAAATATCTCTCAAGTCTCTGCATAATTTTTGTTGCTAGTTTAATCTTTAGTAGATGTGCCAGTATCTCTTGGTGGTTCTGTTTTTTCTGTAACTTTTTTAATTATCATATAAGCATATACTGTAAAAGTACGCACTTATTAGAAGATTGGAATGTTGAACAAGGCAAAAATATTTGTTTTGATTTGTGTAAATAGCTACTATTCTTTTGTTTCGAGAAACTTGGCTACCATCTCACAACTGTTGTATTTTGACATAATGGACAATGTTCAGACATTCTGTGGCTTATGTATTTGTGTAATTGTTTGTATGTAATTACTAACTCTAAATTGTAAGTAAGAAACATGCTTGTTCCATTTATTCAGAGTATTATCTCTCCTGTCTAAAAATATTTTCAGTTATATGAGAAAAAGAATTTATTTATTTTTTTAAGATTGTCATGCAAGATCTGATTTCTCTGCTTTTTAAAAATACTGGGGTGTGGGTGGGTGAGGATTTTATCTAGTTTTCACTTGATAGACCAAAGTTACCATTGACACTGTCTTGCAATGCTGATCAAAATTTATCTCCTTTGCACTTTAAATGAATAAAACATAAGGAAAATCAAGGTGTCAATTGCATATACATTCACTATAAAGTAGAATGTATATCATTAGTCAGTATGTTTATAAAGAGGGTATTTTCCTTTGTTGCGGGAAGGGGAGTACTCTGGCAATGTATTTGCTAGTCAGTATAAAGTGTTTACATGTAATTACTTAATAAATTATTTGATTTAAGATGGATCTTAGTGGTGATTTTCAAGTACTAACCATTGAGGACATTTAGTTCCCTTTAGTTCATACTATTTTTCAGATCTTTTGCAGAAACTATTTTCAGTGCACTTTTTTGTTCACAGTTTTGAGGAAACCACAGAGCATTCATTTCTACAAGATTTCCAGTAGTATTACTACATATAACATCGTGTAATATTATCTACAACATGTACACTTTAAATAAGGAAAGATGATTACTGAATGTCATAATACATACAGCAATATTTTGTAGGTACATAGGTACATAGTACCTACAAAATATAAGCTGTCATTTTTCTACTATTCAGCTCTTTAAAACAATGTTGTAGTTTAAAATGGACATGGCCAAATAACTTTTTCTTACTAAGATCTTAATGCTTTGAGTGGATTTATTTATTTATTTTCAGTATTTATACCCCGCCCTTTTCACCTCAAACGGGACTCCGAGTGGCTTACACAACACACATACAGGAAAAATCAATGCTGATTATAGATTTAACAAGGACAGACAACGCAAACACAAACAGAAATAAAGGAAGTTTTCCCCATCTTATTTCCAGCATCTTGGAGGCTGTGCTCGACTCTGGCCACAGGAGGGTGCTGTCACTCCATCTTCCATGCCAAGGAGCTTTCCTCCAAGACCATTCCTCCCCCAGATGTGAATATACCTGTTGTGGTATGTTTTCAGTGCATCCAACCAGATCAGGCCATATCCACTTTGTAGTATATGCCTGGCCCATGTCATATAGGAACTACTGAATTCAAGCACAGTATCGTAATACCATGCATTGTGCCAGAATTTATTCCTTCCAGAGCAAACAGATAGGGAAGGAAATTTGGTACAAACACATATACAGAGCTACAGTCTTTGACCATTCTCTATCATTCAAATAGGGTGTATGTGATTAAATTGTCCTCTGTTTTTAAAAATAAAAATTATTGTTGTTTATCAAATGTAATAAAAGCAGCAAAGTATGCTTCCTTCTCTCCTTTTTGTAATTGTATAAAATTATGCTGTGCAGTTAGAACTTACAAAGTAGAAGTAAACGCCTGCTGAAATTCTACCAGATGTGTGATAATTAATAGTGAAAGATCCAAGAAAAGGGCAGATCACATCTAGGCATCTCCAGGTTCCTCCCAATTGCCTGTAGACATATATTATTGTTCCATTCAAGTGCTCATAAATATGAGCCAAATGTGATGAATTCACATTGAACTCTTGGAAAATAACAAAAAAAATTACTGTTAAAGGTATTATAGCATAAGCTTTGGCGTATTAAACTCCACTTCATCGGATGCATGAAGTGTTCCCTGCAGTTGACAGATTCAGTGCTGAAGAGGAGGGAAATGTTAACACTTGAGGTTAAATAGGAAAAAAGTGTGACAACAGTCTGTGACGACTAAGTTAAAAGTTCAAATATATGCAAAATATGCACCGTGATGCTTGACATAAACATGAATTTGACATGTCATTCATGCTGCTGTTTGTTACTGCTACTCTGAATTATGTCTGTGATTATTTTGTATAACTTTAATTATCGAGTTGCAATTTTGTATTTTGCATTTTACATCACTTATGGTATAGTAGTGGCTTTGAGAAGGAGCCCCCGGTAGTGCAATGGGTTAAACCCTTGTGCTGGCAGGACTGCTGACTGAAAGGTTGGCGGTTCGAATCTGGGGGGCGGGGTGAGCTCTCATCTGTCAGCTCCAACTTCTCATGCGGGGACCTGAGAGAAGCCTCCCACAGGATGGTAAAACATCTGGGCATCCCCTGGGCAACATCCTTGCAGTCAGCCAATTTTCTGACACCAGAAGCGATTTGCAGTTCCTCAAGTAGCTCTTTACACAAAAAAAAGTGGCTTTGACGATAGTCCTCAAAAACTTGCACCGTGATACATTCATATTTTAAATGGAAAAAGACACTCTTGCTTTTACTAGAACAGACTAGTAAAATGACTTTGTTGTTAATTGCCATCTAGTTGGCTTCGATTTATGACAACTCTGTAAATGAATCTCCAAGACATCCTGTTTCCACAGCTCTCCCCAGCACCTGCAACCTAATATAACTACCTTTCGGCAGATTTTTCAATGATAGCAATTCACTTGCAAGGTCAACATGCTTTAAAAGAGGCTGAGAAAATTATTTGTGGTTAATACAATTATGTTGGTTTACATGACGTCATAATAACTTTATTAAACCATTGGCTCATTAGAAGCATTTTTTTCCCCACAGCAGCATGCATATTAATTGATAGACTCTTAACTTGGATCCTAGATTTTATTTTATAGGAAGGATAAAGCTATCAAGTAAATATTGGATATTATGGCTATGAGGGATAGCATACCAGTACAGCAGCATAGGACTGTTGTTGTCTAGTTTTGCTTCTGGGCTTTCAGGAGCATTTGGTTGGCTACTATGGGGAAAAAATGCTGGATTTCACATTGAGTCTGATCTATCTGAGCTCTTCCCATGTTCGCAATTGTCACAGCTATAGTTATTCACTAAAACAGCACACTCCATGACTTGTGTCTCATTAATATGTGCAATTTGAAACATTCCAGTTCTCAGTCACTTTTGGAAATAGCTCAGGAGGCTTGTCTATTGCAGGAGTGGGCAATTGTGAAAGGGGATGACATTAGCCCTGCCCTGGAGGTCTTGGAGGGCATCACCTCCCCACTGCACTCATATCTGCAAAATAGAAATAGGAGCATTGTTTATTTAAAACTTTTATATCCCGATCTTCTCAACCTCCATAGAGGGACTCAGACTGGCTTTCTCCCCATGTTTTTGGAGCTTCCTGGGTCCCTAAAGGGAATTCCTGTTATTTCGTGGCAAAAATATTTTCTGAAAATTTTGCAAAAGATGTCTTTGACCCTAGGGTGTGTGAGTGGGTCCTTTAAACTCAAGACATGGTGAAAATGCCCTTTATGCACCCCTAGAGATAATTTTGAAGAAGGAAAATGTTAAACCAGAAGGATCACTTCCAAAAGGAAGTACTAGTAGATATCTCATTGAGTGAGCTTTTGAAAGATATAGCTGCTCATGAAAATGAGAATTATGTATGCATAGTGTATTATTGGATCCTGTAACATACTTCATATTTTTTGGTTTTTTAAAAAAAGATAAGTCTCATTTTGTCTTGAAAGTGCATGTTATCATCATAGTCAATGTACAATGTCTTTCAATAATCCTAGATTCTGATTTTCTTTATTTTTTGTTTGGTGTTGCGTTTTGTTTAGTTTAGAGTCACATAATTTCTTCACTTACTGTCTATTAGCAAACATATCTCTCACACATTGTGCACTCTTTCCTGATTTTCTTGTCCATTATATACTTATTTACTATTTATTAATTTCATTTAATGTATATCCTACCTTTCTCTCTTGTCTGCAATCCAAGATAGTTTGCATCATAATTAAAAAGCAAGAACCAATAAAAACAGAAGTATGTTTCAAATACTAAAATGCACTTAAACGAATTCAAAAATTATAGCCCAAATTGCAAAAGACTTAAACCGTCTTCAGTAATAATAGTTACAATTAAAAATTCCGCACATCTGTTAAAAAGCTTCTCTACATCAGACAGATAGATCCCAGAGACCTTTCTGATTACCTGGTAAAAAATTTGGTCCCCTCCACATCATCTAGTGTGAAAATATGATTCCATCAGTGTTGTCATCAAACTGTAACCAAGTAACCAACTTCTAATGCACGCTCAGGTAGCTATATTCCTTTAGAGAACAGGACATCCTAGCACTCCAAAACCACTACACCAGTCATAGGCAAACTTCTGCTCTCTGTGGTTTTGGACTTAAACTCCCACAATTCCTAACAGCCGATAGGCTGGTTGGGATTTCTGGGAGTTAAAGTCCAAAACTCCTGGAAGGCCGAAGTTTGCCTATGCCTGCACTACACCCATTACATGACACTCACTGCTGGAGATGCATCTTTCCTGTCGTAGTTCCTGTGAATCGCACATATGGTAACCTGCGCCTGCGCAGTCCAGCGATCGGAACCTTCCAGAGATAAAAAGATGACAGTTAGGACTCCCTCTGGCCACGCGGCCTCCCTCCCTCATCTATATATAGCCCGTGGCCGTAACCGTCCCTCAGTTCTCTTTTTTTCCGCGCTCAGCTAGCAGCGAGAGAGCCTTCCTCTTCACTTTAAGGCCGTTAACGGTCGTTCACATTAAAAGATAGCCGAAAACCGGTGATAAGGAATAGACTTATTACACAACATGACGACTACAGCATTTAAGAAATGTGCCAACTGTCCGAATATACTCCCGGACACAGACAATCATACTCTGTGCTTAGAGTGTCTGGGAGAAGGACATCTTACTCAACAATGTGATATTTGTGAGTCATTCACTCCCCAAACCAGAAAAAATAGATTGGCGCGGCTTAGGGCTGCGCTATATGAAAAAGCCCTCATGCCTCAAGCTACTCAGGAACAGAAGAGCTCCACAAACCATACTTCCCTACTGTTGGAAGGGAAAAAGAAGACAAAGAAAATCAAAAATAACGGCCCTCAAGATGGCCGCCAAGCCCCGGTGACGAAAAAAGCTCCAACTAAGAAAGGGAGCATTGCAGCCGACAAATCTATGCGGGCTTTAAAGGCGTCCAAAACGCCAAAGGAAGCAGGATTGCCATTAAAGGCTTTAGAGAGAACCAGTGCTAACACTGGGAATACCTCTTGTGTTGCGGCCAAGTCCAATGGATCGACACCGGCAATGGGGTCGACTCCTCCAATGCCGCGCCTCTCTTTGAATGAAGGAGGGGAGATCTGCGCAGTCGCCCCTTACGCTCCCGAGGCAGACTCCATCCCGGCAGCAAACTCCGCCCTCCCTGCCATCCCAGCAGCAAACTCCGCCCTCCCCTCATCTAGCCACGCCTTCGGAGGCGTCTTCAATGGACCTGTAATTACAGGGACGCAGATCCCTGCCCATTCGATGCCGACGCCGATCGGCATCGAAGAGGGACGGA